AGCACGTTCGTTATCGCGTACATGATTTATGAACTCAATTAAACCAGGTGGATCGGGGAATTCCTCGTAGCGGCCGCCAGGCACAAGCTTGTTGCACTTCTTGTTGCCGTCGTACGCTAGCAACTCGAAACGCTGGTGCTGCCAGCTGCGAATGGTACGTCGAGCGATCCCCATGACGCGCGATAACTCGCGGCAAGACATTGTCTCGAGGAGACCAATGGCTTCGAGCTTCGTCGATATGGGATATTGCTTACGTCGACTCATGTTCGGATGTGTGTGGTGATTGTGTGGACTTGCAAGTCCAGAGCAGAATTAAATTGTTTGAAAAGCGCGCGGGCGCGCTTTATAAAAATTCCGCCAATGAATGCGAGCCAATTTCAATAATCAATTTGATTGGACAAATATTTATGTGACTTACAGTTTTCTTCGGTGGGCGTTGCATTCCCTCTTTCCCAGTACGTCTCGGATTCAAATTTGGTGATGAATTGGTCCAAAAATAGATATTTAACCTAGTGGTATTTTAATAGGGCGCGTGGACATTTGGACTGCAGTGATAAAACGCATGAAATCGGTATTTAACGTATTTGGTTTTTGGGTTTAACTACATTAATTGTACGTTAAATAATAAAACCTCCACTCTTCAATTGGCCAGTTGGAAGTTTTTAGTATGACATGCATCATACGACCGCTTTCTTGTGGATACACCCCGAACCCCGGACAATAGATTGCCCTCCCTATGACGAACTCTTGGTAACATCATTAATCCACCAAAGGGATGGCGCTGGCAAGCGCATGTGGCGCAGCCTCCGTAGGTTGGATTGGAGGGATCACCATAACTTGCCACGTCTTGACGTCCATCACGACGAACGCTCCACGTGAGGTTCGAAACGACAACATTCCATTCAGCACTGCCGACGCTCGATCTACATAGTACACGCCACCGTGGTTCCAATGAGTTTCATTGAATTGATACTGGGCCACCGCATGCAAGAGGACGGACGACGCGCGTTTCGCGGCAACAACATTGGCCACCCGCTCCACGAGATAACACCCCGCGCAGCACGCACCGGCCAACACGAGCAGCCCCGCGAACCTCTGGACGCTGCCGATTTCAAACACCCCGCTCTGACACGCCAAGCTGAAGTCCACTACCTTCACGACGCATTGGCGATCAACGCGCACGACATGCTGCACTGGTGCCACTAAGCTCCACACACCGGCCGCGAGCCACACCGTCACACTCGACTTCCATGCGTACCTAACCGTGGCGTCCGCCGTGACAACCGAAAACACATCGTTGAGGAGGTACACGACCCAGCCCATCTCGCCACACGAGAGCATGGTCGTGATGGGGCTGGGCGGGGTGGATGTCAGTTGAGTCAGCCCAACGTGGCGTTGCACGAGCTCCAACGATGCCGTCGACAAGATGCAGGTGGCAGTGATGCCCCGGAGGAGCATCAGCGGTCGGCCAATCCACACCAGCCCCGCCACGCGGTTCAGCTTGAACATGTTGCGACCCTCAATGTGGCCGCGGGCCGCCACAATCGTCGCCGTCACAACCACAGCCACGACCAACATCACCAAAGTAAAGTACTGAATAGCCCACCGAACGTAGTATGCCACGTTTTGAGGAATCTCGAGCGCATTCACTTCAAATTGTACGTTCAGTGGCCGACCTGACACGACCGTCAGGCTGGTGAATTCGCCGTCAAATTGCACGACTTCGCGGTACCCAAGGACCCATTCAAACATGTACAGCCACGCAAAAAAGTCGAACGTGGGGTCGTCGAACACACTGACATGCGACAACACAACTTTGTTTGATTGGCGACTGTCGCTTGTGTACTGGACGAGCTGGGGCGAATAAGTCGTTTGAATCGTTCTCTTCGTGGTCTCGGCGAGGTTTGCCAAGCGTGTGCGCTGGCTGGGCAGCATGGCCGAAGCAAAGAACGCCACTCCTTGCACCAACACTTCGTTGCAGCTACGTTGATTGTGCGTGTCATGGATACACGTGGCTTCGGGGGGGATGGAGGTATGCGCGAGAAGGGCCGCCATGGTCGTGCCCATGGTGTTGGTCATTTCTTCAATCCCATTGACAGAGCACGATCCGTCCAACGCAAAGTACTGAGCAATGGACGGTTCAATGTTAGTGCTGAGCCCACACATGAAATTTCCCCCCAAGTGACCCTGGCCCTGCCATGCGGTCGGTCCTGGACTCATAATGTACACCAGTTGAATCGACATGAACTCGTTCATTGCCGTGGCGTTCTCTCCAATGCAGGTTAAGATCGCTTCTATCAAACTGCGATACAGGGACCGCAACGCCAGTGGCGGGGCGATGCGTTTCATCGACGTCGTGCCAAACGGGCCAAACATGGCCCTGGTCAACGCCAGCCCTTGGTTCAACGGAAATGCTAGCGTGCCGTTCCGGGCTAACAGCCCTTCGACACTGGACGAGTTTGAAAACGCAAACTGGGGACTGGACCGGACCAAACTCCCCGCCTTACCCGACGACACGTTGTGGAACATCGCTCCCCAAAGTAGCCTCGCAAGCGGCCATTGCATACGAAACGACGTGGCGGTCGACAACGATTGATAGATTGGCAGGAGCTTTCGAATAGTGAATGGATACGCTAAACCAAACGCGTTTTGGATCAAGGCAGTCTCGGTGATGCCCATTTGCTTGTAGTTTTGCCAGTGAGGGGAGTACGTAGTCACGTGAAACGACAGCCACGCGGCCACTTCATCTGGCACGGGGACCTTGGCGTCGAGCGATGTCATGGCGACGACCCATGCTCGGCCCTTGGACGTTGCTTGGAGGTGGCCAAAGACTCCGGTTTGCAACGCCTCCCCCCAGCATTGTTCCATCGTAGCCCAGTTGGCATTCCGAAGTATCGATTCCAAGTAGACGGCGCCGTTGGTCGCATCGAGTTGTTTGCACTTTAGCTGGCGGTCGGCTGACACGGCCATCTCCCATGACTGATCAAAATCGACAAAACAGTACGACGAGGCAATCCACGGCAAGTCGCAGCTGGGCGTGCCACGTAACCCCAACACTACAGCATGCAAATCCGAGTACACTTGGTCTTGGATTGACGCAGGGTACATGGGCGCGGTCGTAATGGATGTTTGATTCGTATCGTACTTGTTGGTAATATCTCCATATTGAACCTGGTCGATGTGAGTGGCATCCAATGCATGGGACAACAACAGCTGGTTGCTGAACCAGTTTGTGAGAAACGTCTGGTGTCCCGTGTCATTGAACAACGACCACCACACGTCGTTCACCATTGTCGATTTCGTCAACTCTAGGTAGCCATAGCTGACCACGACCGTACTCGCCATGTACACAAGCCCGAGACAGGCTAGCCCAAACATTCGACGTCGAGAGGTAGGCGTGAGGGTTAGTGAGTTGGCATGAGGCCCGTTCTCGACTTTGATACGCTCTTGAGGAAGCCTCCGCCACAGTTTGATGTCAAAGATAACATCGTGGGGCAAGTGCAAGAGGCCACACATCACCGACGTCACTGGTTCGAGCCCCTCCCCATCGTTCAGTCGTAAAAATGACGTGGCAGCCGCTGGAGCCAACACGCGGTTCCCACAAACCACGACGGGGTCGATTTGCGTCCATGTGCTAGACACCCACGCGACGGCCCACAAGACCCCAGGCACCACAACGCAAACCCCCACAAGCAAGTGAAATCGACTGCTGCTGCCAATTTCCACGACCCCGCTGTGGCATGAAATCTGCAGCCCCAACTGCCTCACGACACAATTCGGGTGTATTACAGAAGCTACTTGAACCCCCCCGGCTTGGTCTAGCACGAGTAAGACCCCCCAGACAACGATCGAACTCGCGGAAACAAACCACCCAGCCCGGCGCGTCACGGGGGTGAACACGTCTTGCAGGACGTACGTGAGCCACGTTCCTTCCCCCGCCAGTAAACACGTTTCCAAGATCATTCGAGGGCGATACTGCAGCGTGGACAACCCGCCTGAATAAACAAATGTCACGGGGGCAGTGCTGAGCACCACCAGGGCGGTCATGCCTCGAAGAAACAGCATCGGCCGACCAATCCACACAGACCCCACAACGCGATTGAACTCGAGCAAATGGCGTCCTGGGAACTGAAATCGATACGCCCACGCATACATCGCCAGCACGACCCCCACCCCCGTCAATGTAAACGTAATGTACACGGCAATGTACCAAATGTACTTGCACGCGTGGGAAGGTAACTCCTGGGGGTTGGCCACCATGGAGAATTTTTTGACTGGATGGGGCTGGCTTAATATCGTCACATTGCCGTTGTCCCCTTCAAAGTTGTACGCTTCGCGGTCCCCTTGAAGCCAGTCGTACATCATCACCCACCCAAACAACGTCCATGGGTCGGCGGTATCTGGGGGCACCATTGACTGGGACAGCATAAAGTTGGAGCCATTGTCAGACGCCAGTTGTATAAACGCAATGTGCAAGGCCTCGGCTTCTTGAAGGAGTGCCACGCTCGTCGGGCAAGACAACGCCATGTCAATGTGCTGAAGGGAAAGGAAGAACCGCGCACAATCGTCGACTGTGTCGGTGCACAAGTTGCACGAGTTTAAAATCATGTCTGACCCTGCAAGAGGCGACACGTGCAATGCAAAGAGGGCCGCTTCGAGCGACACGCGAAGTGAGTGGCGGATTTGGGCCGTGCAGTCGTCGTAATAGCCAAACGACGGTTGAATGTAGGGCTTCCCCTCGCCAAACGGACACAAGGGGTTGCCTCCGTAGTACAACGTACTGGGGCTGTGGTGCCACGTCCTAGGCACGGGATCCACCGACGTGTCTACAGCCAACAATAGTGCATTGTAGTGTTGTTTGTACATCGCCCTCAGCGATTCTTGAAACGCTCGGTGAAACACCCGTAACATCGGAGGCACCGGTACCCATTCCACGTCAATCGACAAGAACGGGCCAACGAACTGCCGCACCAGATTCCCTCCAACAGTGTTCGGAGGGCCCAGAACATCCACGTCCCAATCGATGCCGAGGTTGGCAAAGCTGTTGTGCGCATATAAAAGCACGCTCGCATCAATTGACTGGCAAATGTCAATGTCATTCCAAATGCCATCGTACGCAGCTAACGTAGTCCACCGGCCAAGGCTTCGACCAACCCTGGACACTTTTTTTATCTGGATCGTTTGTTCGTACCCCAATGCATTGCGAATCGCGATCGAGTCGTCGATGCCGTCGTGGTTCAAATTCTGCACCGGCGTCTTCCATTTCGTGAGCCCTCGGGATGTCCAGTACGACACTTCGTCGTCTACGGACAGGTATTCGTGGGTTTCCATAGCTTGGATCCACCACTGGCCTTCAATCGTCAACCTTAAACTGGCCAAAATCGTGCCGTTGATCCCTTGGCGTTCGGTTGACGTGTACATGGCATTCGGAGCGCAATTGCGCGTCATAGCTTCGAAATACAACGCTGCGTTGGACTGTTTCGTGGCTTCGCATCGACGTTGTCGTTTGAACGTGTGGGCCATCGCAAAGCTTCGGTTGATGTCCAGCCAACAGTACGGCGCCACCATCATGAAATTGAGCTCCAAAGGTACCATTCTGAGGCCGTTCACGGCAATGGCCAAGGGAATGTCGTCCAGCAAGAGCTGACGACCGTATGATGCGCTCCACTCCATGCGGGTGTTGTTGTCGCCGTAGGATTTCGTTGAGTACACCTGGCCGACGAGGGGGAAGTCCCCCCTTCGAGACTGGCCGAGATGCACGTTGTATACGTCCCCAATGAACGACTGCAAGCCCGTCGAGTTGAAGTCTGGCCACCAGTAGTCGTTGGTCAAGCTCGGATGGATCTGGGCCAAGTGTACCCCACTGAACGCGAGCGACGCCACCACGTACACCAGCCCCCCCATGGCTGCCCACCTCGGGTGTCGTCGGGCGACGCCTTCCACCGTGTCTGTCGCTTTCCTAACAAACGCTTGCGACTTTGGCGTCACTTTTGCCATCGTTCTCCACTGATCGGGGTGAACTTGAGTCAGTTACTTTATGCGGGGGTCGCCGTTTCTGTAACCGATCCAGTTGTATACTATATACTATACCTGTTGAAGCGGATGTTACTGGTGTACTGTAAATGATACCTTTCAGCCTGGGTTGGCCGCAGCGACATTATTCGTATTCAACCCTGTACTGTTTGGAGGCTTGGCCGTAACGTTACTACGTACTGTCAAAACACTGCATTTTATTTTGCTACAGCTCACAAATGCGACATTTCTCACTTATTAATATCGGTTGCATATAGGTCAAAACCGCCGGAGCAATACTATAACCTGAGCAAAAGAGCAGGGGAAAATTCCCAAACGCGCAGGTCCTAACTTAGCATGAGACACAAGCAGCGTGATGGACATCGTGCGTGCGGTGTCAAGCCGTGGAGCACAGGATGCATCCGAATAACTTTTTTAACCGGAAGCGGATAAGTTGCGAAACGTAAATTATTTTGTCATTACTATTGTCAAGTCGATTCAAAATTGATTGGAGTGCTTGAAACCAAATCGGCAGACAATCGATCGACCAATCAAAAACCACAACACGAATGAAGTGGCCAATCAATTTCACTCTTGTACCATTTCAACACCACCGAATTAGTCAATTCGTGAGATATGTACTACTGGACGATCATCTTTCCATAACTACAAAAAAAATCAATAGATTTGGCGAATCAGCCCAAAACTCGACCAAATTTGGGGTAAAAGGATTACAATATTGTATGTCACCTCCGTGAACAAAGCGCATGTACGTCATGCGTAGCAGTCGTCGGCACCGATGAACTAGATTCACATGAAACGACGAGCGGTGTCACATCAGACTTTTCATTAATCGTTCCATCGTGTCAAACATATTTACTACAGCGCGGAAAAACATCATTTGCACTACCCCCATCATAGGCACATGAGTTTTTTCACTGGAGGATGCTGCCGTGTGTCGAGGCTCGGTCCATCGTAGCCACCCATGCTTGTATGGTTCATGGCTGCAACTTCATTCAGTAGACACACACGACGCGGAAGGGACAACGACAATGAGAAATGTCCGTCGAAATCGCATGCTTATCCTTCTCGCGTCTTCAATCCCTGGGCGGCGAGCAATGCGGCGACTTCCTACAAACAAAAGGTCTGTCATGACGAGGTGGCGCGTACGGAGTCGTACCTCGGTGGTGGGAACGCGATGCGATTCCAACTTGGAGAAGATGCGCTTGTCTACAGCATCATCATCATCAGTTGTTATTGGGCATGCATGAGAATGAAGTCTGTACCGTTGAGGTAGATTTCAAAGGCTCCCGACGCCGACAGGTTTTGAGACACCACTCCGATCACCATCAACACCATTGTAGCAGTGAATCGGTGCTCTTTCATCGCGTCAACCAACGACGGGTTCATTGGAATGCTCAGGGACACGAAGAAGAACTCGCCAAAGAGGACAAAGGCGAGCCCAATCCATCGCAACAAGCTGAGCGACGACGCCACGGAAGAGATCCATCCTGAGGGAGCGTATTTCTTGCCTTCGATGCGACCGGCGAGATGGGGGAAGATAGTTTCCAAAGACTTCGCCATGTCCTGGAACCGGTTGGCGTAGCCTCACGAGGAGCAGTACTCCACACGCACATGGGTTGTTGTCGTTGTCGCTGGCGTCATTTAGAAAAATAATAGGCTGTCAGTTCCTGTAATTACACATTTATTTTGGAGTTTTTTATGAATATTCCCGAGTACTTTTCCGAGATTGTTTTGATATTTGGAGGCAATAATATAGGATTTTCGTATTATTGTGCTTTCGAGTGAAATTTCGTGTTGTGGCGTGGTTTCTCGTAGGAATTTCAATCGATTTGATTGGCTACTTCAGAAGAGCTCAAAATTATTAACCAATCAAAACCTCCTCAATTAAACTTAACCAATCAGATCGATTCTGGATCAGTTTGGTTGGCGCGATTCGATTGCATCCCCTCCCCAAATTTGTATCAAATCGACAATAAAACAAACTGCTTTTCACTTTGTACTTTGTGCTTTTTTATACGCAAACGCAACTTGAAGTTGGTAGAGCACCAGCCAATCATACAATGACACTCAAAAGTATACAATTCCTAGTACAAACATGAAATGGCAGCGCCAGGTGCCATTTTGCTCCCGAAAGCATAAGTCAAATCGAGGAACCCAGACATCGTCTAGAGCATGTAGCTTGAGCTTAGGAGCATGTAGAGTAATTGTAGATGCCCACCTAACTAGTCCTTCGCAGCATTTCACGAACGTGCAGCGCGGTTAGTGATCGCTGTGCCCTAGCTGAGCACCACGATTCGACGGACTCGGGCTGTGGGGTCCACATCACTCCGAGTACAGTACTGTACAGATTTCGGATTCTAAATTGACTCCATTTGCTTTTCGAGCAAACGACTTAAAATACAAAAGAATACGAAGTACGTACTACGTAGTATATATTTGCATTTCAAAATCCACGAAAAGAAGAAAATTCCTATATCCGAAATCTCCCTATTTTGTCCTTTTACCCAAAATTGGGTCTTTTATGCTGATTCGCCAAATCTAACTGACATTTTGTAAATGTAAAATAGTACTTCGAAGTACTACTATTGAATAATATACTATTAATAACTGTACTACCGGGAGTCGTGTACTACGTAGTACTTCAGGTACTTCACTACTTCGAAGTATTAAGACGTACTTAAAATGGTCCTAGGGGAGTTAATAGTAGTACTTACACAAGAACGGGGAGTCGTGTACTTCACTACTCCTAGTACTTCGTAGTAGTACTGTACTTACTGTTAGTAGTAAAATCAATATTGAATCACACTGAAAGTATAAGAGCCAATCCGATCCACTTGGATAAGTTCACGTGGGTCCACAATACAGGACGATAAGGGTTGATCATGTTTCTCAAATAGTGAGATTTTATCATATCTGATTGAGGATAAAATGGAAGCAATAATCTGTTGATGTTACAAGTGGTGTTCCTTCCACGGTCTCTAAAACAACAAGATGCTATGGACGACTTCCGTGGGTTATCCATCTGACAGGTCGAGGTCGACTAAAGTGCTGGCAAAATCTGACAAAGTAGCGACTACCCCCGTAGCACGCTTCCCGCAGTGTCGCCAGGTCCAGCCGTGTCATTTGCGCTTCATGCTCCACGACGCACAGTCACATGGGGTGATTGTTGTGCGCCGTTTCATTCCGAGCGCAAATGTCAACCTGTCGAGATGGACAGCCGCCGCGTCGCCGTCCAAAGGACCTTGATGTCATGGCGTCGACTTAGTGCCTGGCCAACCCATTCGCAGTCAGCAGCTGGTTGATCTCTTGCATAGAAGGCCAGCGACCAGCCTTGAGTTTCGAAAAGACCAATTCGTCTACACAATAAAAAGAACCCCACGTTAAGATGGAGTAAACTGACGCACGATAAGAACGAGCTACCGTTAAAGTAGACTTCGAACGCCCCCGTGGTCAGCATGGACTGCGACACGGAGCCGAGGACCATGAGCACGCCAAACGCCACGAACTTGTTTTCGCGCATTTGGGTGAAGAGGTAGAAGTCGACGGGAAGGCCAAGGGCAGACAAAATGTGCTCGCCAAAGAGCAGCAGGGCAAACCCAGCCATTTGAATGTACCCGATGAACGAAGCGACGTTCTGTTTCCAGGCGGGGGGGAGGTGATGGCCGCCTTCGATGCGACCGATGAGGTGGGGGTAGTTGGCTTCGAGGTTCTTGACCACGTCGCGGAAGTTGTTGCCGTACCCTCAGGACTGGCAGAACTCGATGCGGACCTTGTCGTCCACGAAGCTCGTCACTTTCTTCTGCTTCTTCTCTTGGAGTTGCTCGGCGGACGACGTCATGACTAGCACCAGAAGTGCCAGCATCAGCATCCAGCGGACTAGACGCGACATCAGTTCTAGAGGAGTTTTTACGGTGGTGAACGAAAACCAAGTGGGCGTCCGGTTAATGATTCCATATCCGGATATTTTTTCATGATTTTTCGATGACTCCTCGTTTTCTTTTTCCGTAAAAATTGAAAGCAAAGTAACGTTACTATTTTAATAGTAACGTTACTTAACGATTTCGGAGAATACATTTTTCCCTATCCGTAGACTAAATGGCGCCCAACGTCGTGAGCTTCGTGGATGATCGGCGAGGTCATGGTGAAGTGGTCCAATAGGTCATTATTCGTTGTTGTAGCGTTGGGGCTAAGCTTAGTACGGGCGCCAGAGGCATACGAAGTATTGAACTGATTGAAACTTATCCTGTGTTAGTTCAGATGTTCTATTTGTAGGACGCTCAGAATGAAGTGGCTGCGAAGGCAAGGAATGGCTTGCTTCTCAAGTAGCACGTCTCGGCAACTGGCACCAAAGCGCCAGCTGCAGAGTAGAGTTTTTATCCTAGTCTAGTACTTATCTGGTGCTTCAAAGATAGTTAGTACTCGTTTACGAAATCTCCCTACCGGGACTGTATACTCTCTCTTTCCGGAAGGACAAAATCTGGGGAATTGTTGAAATAGAGGAAAGGTGCCAGGGGGAACACTGGGTGGTTGCGGGTGAAACGGAAAGTGAATTAGCTTAGCCACCAGTGAAAATAACTGGCTCTAAAGACTCTACGGACTAGCTAATGGCTAGCCAATGAGAACACGAAATCCTAATGATGTCCCGTGCATATGGCTGGCTATCTACTGTCTGAGGAAAAGCCTCTAAAAGGCACAAAAACCTCCTACTAGCTGCAGCCAATGCTACTACTCCGAGTACCTGAGGCTTCAGGGCAGTGGTGATGTTCATTACAGAACAGGGTGTTCTGACTGCCTCCCAACAACTCCACGCACTGTCACTGGAATCAGGTTCCCATAGTGCAGCAAGAGGCTGGCGGTTAGACTAAGTGAGCGTAACCACCTATGGTTGTACCGTCTTATGTCCGGCACTAAACTCGTCGGACACCCCTCTTAGCGGGTCCCTACCAATTGGTCCTTCCGCACGACATGTCGGGAAGAGAATGAATGGATCGAGTAACCACCGGGATGCCGTCACCCTCCGTTGTCTGACCTGTCACGGTTGGAGCGTCCTCCGTACATGACGACACTGGTCACGGGCTGAGAGGCCGGAGTTTATGCTCCTTGGCGTGGGACAAAGGGGTCAGAGGGCTGCAGCTGCTCCACTCTTAGTTTACTGCGCAGTGCGCAGAGCGTTGTAATGGCTAACGGTTTGGTGAAGATATCCGCGACTTTGAGTCGTGTATCTGTAGCCGAGGTGATGGGGTGACCCATCTCACCTGCTGTCTGCTTGATGTACAAGCATTCTTGTTCTACTGTGCACATAATTATAAGTTCAGCCTCGGTGGTCGAGAGAACTATGCTGCGTAGTCTCTTAGCGATCCATGAGATCGCAGAGTTACAGTAGAATGTCACAAAGCCGGTGACGCAGCGACGAGTGTCAACGCAATTAGCGTAGTCACTGTCAGCAAATGCGTGCAGTGGAGTGGTGACATTGTGTTCACCACCCAAGACGAGACCGTAGTCGATCGTGCCTCGAATATAGTGAAGTGCTCGCTTGGCTGCCTGCCAATGGGCTGGGCCAGGGTTCGTTAAGAACTGACTGAGCTGCTGGACGACGTAAGCCAAATCTGGTCGGGTGCTAATCATGAGAAACATGATGCTCTCGACGATAGATCGGTACGGCTTGTCCACCATGTAGGTGCGCTCAGTTTCGTCCTGAGGACACATCGACTCAGAGAGTTTGAGGCTCACCTCCATGGGAGTGGGTGAAGGTTTGGAGTTCTCCATGCTGAACCTCTTGAGAATAGAGGTCGCATATTGGGATAGATGCATCGTGAGAGTTCGTTGCGAACGGTCTCGAACGATGTGGAACCCAAGAATGAACTTGAGTGGGCCAAGGTCGTGCATTGTAAAGCGCGCCGACAGGCTATGTTTGATTGCTGACATCATGTCCTTCGTGGAAGCCATGATGACGAGGTCGTCGACATAGACGCCGATGTAAACGGATCGTCCGTTCATGACTTTTATGAAGACACACCTGTCTTTGACAAGTTGGGTGTACCCTTGCTCGTGCAAGTAGGTAGCCAGTGTCTGGAACCACAAGCATGGTGCCTGTTTCAGGCCGTAGACGCTTCGAAGTACTCGAAGTACGTCGCGAGGATGTTTGGCGGTGCCAAAGCCTGGAGGATGTTTGACGTATACTTCACAGTCGATTTCTCCATTGAGAAAGGCTTTGATGACGTCCATCGCGTCGATCTCATAATCGAGGACCACGCCGATAGTAAGCATCAATCGCAGAATTTCCTTTGCGATGACTGGGAGTAACTCTCCTCGAAGTCAACTCCTTGGACCTGAATGTGTCCTTGGATGACAAGTCGCGCTTTGTAGCGGGCGACCTGTCGCGTAGCCTTAGTGGCTGAGTCATCGTATTTGATCTTAAATACCCAGCGCATGCCCAGGGCTGACTTCCCTGGAGGCAATGTTATGCTCTCGAACGACATGTTCGCCTCATGTGAAGCCAATTCGAGCAGCATGGCTTCGTGCCAATGCACTTTGGCTGAAGACTTCATAGCTTGCGCATATGTTGAGGGCTCCTCAGTAGGTGCTTTGACCTTGAGTGCCGAGAGGACATGCTCTGGTGTCGAGATGGATCGAGCGCTCGATGCGTCCTCGATATAAGACATAAGTAGTCGTGCAGGGCCGTCAGGTTGACGTCGCCGTGTCCAATGTGGAAGTATGCGATGAGATGATAACACACTCTTTGGTGTGGTCGTGGTGTCACTCGAGACCACGAGGGTCGAGGTAGAGCTCGAGTGACTGGATTGTCGTAGGTGACAATGTTGGCTTGGAAGTGAGTGTCATATTCACATAACAGGGTTTGTGTTTGGGGAAGTGGATTGTCCACAGTCAATTACGGTGTGGAAGCTCAGTCCGCAGTCGCTTGACTTCCTCGACTGATTTCAGGAGGGGGAACTGATGCTCAACAAAGGTGACATCACGGCTCGTGAGCACGTAGTGTGTGTCAATGTTAAGAAGCTTGAACCCGCGAGATGTCTCGGGTAAGCCGATGTACATGCACAGCATGCCTCGTGGAGACAATTTGTTCGCACGCATGGGTGTGTTGATATGGGCATAGGCCACACATCCAAATACTCGGAGTCGATCGTAGTCTGGATGCCATAAACGATATGGTGTGTCACCACTAGTCGTGGTAGACGGCAGGATATTCGTGACGAATACTGCATGTGATACTGCCTCGCCCCACAGAAACTGTGGCAGGTACCATTCAGTAGCATGGACCGGGCGATCGTGACGATCATGCCCATACGACGCTCGGCCACAGGATTCTGTGTCGGTGTGTAGGCATTAGTATACCTCAATCGGGTTCCGTATTCTTGGAGAATATGCTTCCCGAGCTTGACATATTCGGCGGCGTTGCCCATTTGGAGCGCTCGAATTTCCTCTAACTCACTTAATGGTGAGTGATGATAGCATAGCTCGAGGATGTCGGAGCGATAGCGCGTCCGTGCATCCCGGCAGAAAGTAATGTACTTTTCGTACAACTCTGCACGCCGTAGCATGATGTACACGAAGGTGTATCGAGTAAAATCGTCAATAAATGTCACGAAGTATCTACCCTCAGAGATGGAGGGGATGTTGATCGGCCCCCAGATGTCAGAGTGCACTCGTTCGAGAGGCCTCGACGTCTTTGGGAGTTTGTTTTTGGAAAAGGGAAGTACCTTGGACTTCGACCTTAGACATGTGTCACACGAGGCATGAGCCGTGATGGCTTGCCGTGAGATCCGAAAATCGAAGAGGTTCGAATGACGCCGCAGAATGCGGAGCTTGTCATGACTGCTGTGGCCCAATCGATGGTGCCACCTCATGGTGCCCTGGGGCTGACTTTGTCAGAAGGACAGTCGTGGCTGGTCCATGCACATGAAGGTGGGGTAGCGTCGGTATGACGTACAACCCTGAGTGTGGCGCATAGTCTGCCTTGAACTCGCCACCGTACGTGGCTAGAGTCAACACGTTGGGATCGATGGAGACAATTCGGTGTCGATCCATGGGTAGGGTTCGACCCACGGAAAAGAGGTTGAAGTGTAGTTCTGGGATGTGGTATACATCCTTCAGATAGATCGCCAATGGGTCGCCGTTGGAGCCAGTGACGTAAAGTCTAACTGTGCCGCGAGCTACGACGTGTAGTGGGTGGCCATCGGCTGCACCAGCTAGTGATGAGTAGGTTTCGTATGTGACGAACCATTCTCGTTTGAAGGTGGAGTGCTTAGAAGCACCACAGTCGACTGTCCAGAGACAGGAGTCTAGTTGTTGTTGTACTATAGGACTAGTCGGTGACACACGAAGTGCCCAGCCAGTAGCTGTGTATAATAGTGACCGCGATATAAATGTATCCAGCGAGTCAAAATGTGGACGAAAGTCTTTTAGTATTTTCGAAAGTATTTTTGGAATTGTACTTGAATTGTTGGTGGACTGTTGTAGTACCGAAAACGAGACATGTTTTTGTTGTTCAAGAGGTGTCGTTAATCTAGGCAATGATCCCGATTTAATCTCATTTAATCTAGGCAATGATGCCGATTGAATTTCATTTAATCTAGGTAGAGATAATCGAGGCATTGATGTCGATTTGTCGTCACAAGATATCGTAATTTTTGGCAAAGGCGCCTGTTCATGAAGACTGAAATAACGAGTCTGGTCATGTTGATCGTCGCTGCGATTTACGCTACGACTACGACTACGATGGTCATTTCCTCCGGTATTTTCACCAGGGCCACCTTGGTGGGTGCCGTGACTGCGGTTTCGCTGGTCATCTTGGACGGGGTATAGCTCTGGAGGAGCCAAATAATGATAATCATCATTGAAGAAATCATCGGGCCGATCGCGCGAGCGGTT